AGCCGCCCCCGGCCCGGCCGGGCGTCCCGGCCCGCCCGCTGCGGGGACGCTGGGTCAGCCACGGCTCGGGAGGGGCGGGCTCAGGGCCGCGGAGGGCGGGGCCCCACCTTCCAGCCTCCCACGGGGATCAGGTGGGAGTGAGGAGCAAGCCCGGCCTCGCAGGGTTCCGGTGGAAGGGGGATGAGCGTGGCGAGGGACCCAGGTGGCACCGACTGCGGGGCAGCTGGGCAGGGCTCCGGGCACCCGCCCCGCCGGTACATTTGCGTGTCGTTAGCATGTGAGTTGCACAGCCACACGCACACCTTCCGGAAGCTCGGTTTGCCGCCCCGGGTTCTAGCCCTAGGAGAGGAAGGGATAAAGCGCGTCACAGAGAAACGGCCGGTGTCGTTAGCATGTGAGTTGTACAGCCACACGCACACCTTCCGGAAGCTCGGTTTGCCGCCCCGGGTTCTAGCCCTAGGAGAGGAAGGGATAAAGCGCGTCACAGAGAAACGGCCGCCCAGCCCAAGTCGGGTCGGGAGCAGGCACAGGGCAAGGTCGAGGGTCCCTTCGTTGCTGGCTTTTCTGCCTTCGAGTACTTCCAGTGAAGGCCTAGAGTTTGCTGGGGTTTTGTTTGTTTGTTTGTTTGTTTGTTTGTTTTTACAAGCGAGCACTTGCTAGCGAGAGAGGCGAGCAAGTGCCCTCCAGTGAGGCGCGGCCCCTCCGGCCACTCCGCAGTCCCTTTTCCTTCGTTTCTCGAGCATGTCAGGATTTTTAAGCCACCTGTGGAGGCGGTGGTGTGTGGGACCCGGCTCCCTTATCCACTGGGCTGCCAGACACCCCCCCCCAGGCCCTGCAGGGCCCCTCAGAACCACCGGCCCTTTTCCCACCTCTCCCCCAGCCAGCCAGCCTTCAAGTGCCTTACTTAAATGTCCTGGGATTCCTGACCTTGGCCTCGCAGGCCAGGTTGTGGTTTCTCAGGGCAGTCCTGCGGCTCCTGGCGCCACAAGTTCAGATCCACTCCAAGGTGTCAAAGGAGCAGCTCCAGGCCATGGATGTCCCCACAGGGTGCACTTCCTGCTTTCTCGCTTCCTCCTGCCCTCGCGCTGGGTCCTGTCCTCTCCCTCACCCGTGTCCAGACCACCCCCGCCAGCCCATCTCGATCACCTCTGCTGCTTTCCTGGCTGGCCTCCCCTGGATCATCTCCTTCAAGTCCAGTCACCCCTTCTGCAACCATGACCTCCCCATGTCTCTGTGGCGACATCCTGGGACCACATATACTGGGCCTGCTCGTGGGGTTCCCTTATAACAATAAAGTCTATTTAAACCTTGAAAAACAAAAAGTATTGGGGGTGGGGACAGCAGGTGGTAGTGGTGGCTTGGTGATTAAGGGATTGGACATTCCCACAAGTTCAACCACAGTTCGAGTCCTGGACCTGGTGGCTTGCTTTCTCACTTTCCCTCTCTTTGGTCAAATTAGAATAAATTAAATAATTCTTTTTTTAAAAAATGTATTTGGTTACTACAAAGTTACCGTAATCAAGACAGTGTGCTGTTGGCCCCAGGCAGCACGGGTGGGACCGCTCAAGGCTGACCTCTCTCAGTGACCTTGACCGACTGTCCAGAGACCTGTCCATGCGGGAGGAGAGGAGTATGTCTACTTGGCAAAGCTACTGGAAAAACTGGACAGCTCCATAAAAGCATAAGAGCAAACCTCTACTCTTACCATCTGCAAACATCAATTCAAAATGAGTCAGGTGTGGTGCCCGTGGGTGGCCTGGTGGTTAAGGTGCTGGACTCCCCACATGGCTCACTGTGGTATGAGTCTTCCACCTGCCGGCTTGCCCTCTCACTTTCTCTCTTTATGTCTCTCTCTCTCTCTGGTGCATGTATGTGCCCTAGAGCAAATGAAATAAATAAATAAATAAATTAGAAAAAATAAACCAGAGGCCCGGCCTGCTGGCACTGTCAGCTCACTGGAAGGCAGTGCCAGAGGCACTTGGCCAGCTGTAGGCTGGGATCCTAGGTCAGTCTGAAAACGGACAGAGGGGCCAGCAGTTAGTGTAATGGCTATGCTGCTGGGCTCCCATGTAGTCGACCGTGGTGTGAGTCCCGGACCCAGCGGCTTAAACTCGCGCCGGGTGCATGTGTGTGTGTGCCCAAGATCCCAAGAGGAGAATGGAGGAGAAGGGATTGCGGTGTGGCCATCCCCCCTGGGGGGTGATTCCTTGCTTTCCGTCTCTCTGTCGCTCTCTGTCTTTCTGGTGAGCGCATGCTCCCTATAGCAAAAACATCTCCAGTAAAAAGAAAAAAAAAAGAAAAAGAAAAAACGGACCAGGGACCTCCACACGTGCCCGGGGTCCCGAGAAGCTGGAGGGCCAGGGGGGGGTGTCACAGAGTGAACAGAACCTTCCCACTCACACAGATGTGCATTTGTATGGCCTATCATGAATCAAATAAACCTAGAATTGATTGGACTGTAGACCACTAAGTAAGAGTCAAAACGTGAAGCTTTTAGGAGAAAGCAGAAACAAATTATGAGTACGGATTGGGTGATAGACTTTTGTAAAGAATTATTTAATTTTTATTTTAAAATTTTTTTTTCAGTTTCACCAGAGAGAGAGAGAGAAAGCAAGCTGCTGGGTCCAGGGCTTGAACTGTGGCTGGCCCTCTGGGAGGCCAGCGCCTTAAACCACCATGCCACCTGCCAGC